CATATGTCTGTTTTTTTTTCCAGAAATATGTCATGCCTGAAATTCACTTTTTTTTAATATACATATCCTTGAGAATAAATTTTAAATATAAAATGTTGACTTTTTTTAAATCTTACCCATCCATTCACTAATAATAATATCGATATTTTCGTCGAATTTGTCAATATCTTCAATATGTTTATTAATTACTTGAATTTTGTCTTGTAAATGATTACATTTAATTAATTCTATAGCTAAATGACATATAGCTGGACACGCATCAACAGCATAAACACATTTAGCACCGGCTTTGGCAGCAAACATACTTAATATTCCTGTTCCAGAACCAACATCAAGAACGACCTATATTTATTTTTTATTCACAAATATAATTCTTCTATTATATGTATTTATATGTCGTATCGAAGTTACTTCAATTCAATTAAATACCAAATAAATATCATTTATTTAATAATGATATTAAAAAAAAACAATTCATAAAATTAAGGCTAATTTTTTCATATTTTATATAACTATAGATCTATTTTGACGATTTTAAGGTCTTGTAATTCATGTGAGAGATCTCTAGAATGCTATGTTGTAATTTGAACAATACTTAAACTTTACAATGATAAGACAATTAGTACATATAAGGATAAATAAAATGTTTACCAGAGTCAAACGAAAATTTGATTGTATTTTTGAGTATTACGTTTCAATATTATTTATGTATCAGTTCAATACAAGTCCTACCACTCGGAAATAAAAAAAAAAGATACGGTACAGAACTGTAAAAAAAAGTTCCGAGAAGGAAAACCAAATCAAAACATCTTTTAAGGTTTCTTGTGAACTATGAAACCTTGTTCAGGTATTGTAGAATTTTATAAAACCTTAAGAAGGTTTCGTAGGTGTTAATAATACCTTACAAAGATTTTGATTTCGTTTTAGTTTTCGAAACCTTCCAAAGTACAATTTTTGTTTTCAGTGCAGTGAAGGTAATCTTGAAGAAGAACATGTCAAACAAACATTATTAGACAAGTAGTAGGTACAGCAGAAAGAGCAATTTATGACCTTGGAATGCGATCGACGAGATATTATAAGAATTTATTTGTTGAGGTTTGTTATTTATATTGAAACATCCAGATCTATCGTTTGCAGTTTATAACATGTTTTGACTGGATTAGAAAAAAAAACCGTAATTCAGAATACGTATTCTGCGTCGGAAACTAGCTTTTTTTTCATCATAACCTTACTACCGTTTTTACTTGTAGTTGAATGCTTCGTTTATTTTCATTTTTAGCCATGCATTTAATGCCAAAATGAAAACTGAATTACACAGTAAAAAATGCAAAAAAAATTCCGAAATAAAGTATTATATGAGAGTTTTTCTAATGCTATAGCTACGTGCTTTTTAAATCAGAGCATAGTATTATAGAAATTTCATTCCTTAATTACAGACCTTAGTGTATCGTCAGAGTTGATTCATAATCATGTACACTATGAACAAAGAGTAATGTTAAATTTTTCTCAATAATTTCTTTTATGTTTATTCGTAAAAAAATTATATAAATGTTTTTAAAATGAAAAATTAACTGTAATTTTATATATTATTTTTTTTTTAATATCATTAATTAACTGTAATTTTAAAGTTATTTTTAATATAAATCATTGACTATCAGCTTCATATTATTTTTAGTATCATTAATTTACTGATATGGATTTTGTATTTGATACAATTGCAGTCACGTCGACAAGTTTCTTTTTGCCGAAGTTGCAACTTCGTCGACGGATGTAACATCGATACGACATAAATATGAATTATAAAAATACCTTATTTTCGAATAGATGTTTACTGTTCATAATAGCATCATAATATGCAGAAACACGTGGACGATCACGTAACATCAATTCATGAACTTGAAATTTCTCGTATGATTCAAAATATTGTTTATCGATATTATTATCCTCTATTTGTTCTGAGTCCATTATCTAAAAAATAAATTTTGTTTTTTTACTATTTCTATTTTCATAATACTGAGTTTTTCAAAATCTCACAAGTTTTTGCTATTGTGTAACCTTATTAAATTTGTTTTTTCCTAGACCAATAGATTCAACAAAATAAAAATGTGTATTCTATTATAAATTTTAGTTTAGGAAAAAAAGTTTTAAACTCTACATATTTGTCACGGACTATTTTTGATATAATTTTCTTTAAATTTTTCGTTTTAAATGAAACATGAATAAAATCAGTGAATGAGACAACGAAACAAGAAAATAATTTCTTTATTTCTTAAAGATACATACTGTTTGAATATATATATATATAAAGTGTAGAAAAATCTTTTAATTAAAAAGAAGATTATGAATAAATCGATTATTTCATATCAGATTTTCTAAAAGTTTTATATATTGTTTCGTCGACATACATCTTATTTTAATATCAACGATTACAGACAATATATCACCGGTAATGTCGATATTAGACAAATTTAGGCTGAATCTATGAGCTATAAACGATCTCGAATATTTTTGATAGTTAAACGTTAACCGCTATGCTTCGTTATTGTTATTTTCCATTATCATTTTTTGAATAAATATTGCTAGTCTAAAGTAAGTCAAGAAGAAGAAATTGTATTGATAAAACACAAAAAAAAAATAGTTTGTCCTTACCAATACATAAACTAAGATACAATGAATACCAACTGACATATAAGTGAATCAACTATGTGATAATAACTATTGCATGTCTACATGATCTAAAAAAATAAAGAAATAGAAAGAAGAGACTACTAGAAGTTTTTACCTTATATTACATAACATAAAGTAAATAATCACTTTCTACTAAATTGTCAATATCGATAAAAGATAGCTTTTGTCGAGCATACAATTATTGTTCAACTTTCTGATAAAAATCATCACCAATTTCGGCTACCAAATGAGCCAAGAAACCTAAAACATTATCATTGGTAGAACAACAAAATCAATCAATAATCTACAGCAAATAAGATGTTTTTGATTAATCCAGATTACATCCTACTAAATAAAGATAATCAGCTCATTGAACATCAACTACAGGATTAACTATCAAAGATATTATTGCATCGATTTTGTCTTCCGTCAAAATCAAGTTATGTTTTAGAAATATAAAATTTCTAAAATAAAACAGTGACTTGATCGTAGTATAAGGCATTTAGGCAATGTATTTACGTTGATAGATTGTTTGTACAGCTACCTATTTGTATAGAAGAGAAAGAGATGGTTTTACGTAGGCAAAAAACAAACATGTATGCTTGCCTGTTGATCTGCTCGAGCCAATCAGAAATAAGTTGCCTCTACGACAGAGAACTGCTGAGGGCGAAAGTACAGAAATAGCTGAAACTTCATTCCGTTTTAAGAAACCAGGGGTGACAAAAAAAATCTCATACTATATAATTAGTATGAGGAGATGAAGCTAATAAAATCTGAAGTCAACTTGACAAAAACTCCATGTATGTCTCTCGATGCTATTCAACTGATTACTGACTTGGAAACTTCATTCTAGCAACGAATGTCAATAGAGTTATTTGCTTTTTTTCTGAAAAAAGTTCCATAGCATTAGGGAATAAAGAAGCAGATAAGGCTTGTAGAATATGTGTTTATTTATCAGCATATTATTAGCAAAAGTTGTCATGCATATCCGGACTTGGTATTGCAACCAGCAACACTCACAAAGTTCTAACTGATCGATTTTAGTCCACTAATCGCTCTCTTTTTTTCCATGTAGCAGTCAATGAGATAAACCATTCATGCTATATATATATATAAATTATGTTCTTTCGAGTAAGTCAGCTTTTTTTGTAAAAATATTTCGCATTTTGGGAAAGAGCGTACGAATAGCAGAAGTAAAAATAATAATGAGTTTGTTTTCCTGTCTGCTTCAGACAGCTAGAGAAGGCATATTTGACGACCCATCCAATACAGAAGCTCTATTTTTAGACTGGATAATTAGAGAGTTGCACTAGTCTAACATGCCATTAGAAATATCTTCAGCAAATCAAATTTCAACTTTAATGAGAAGAATAGTCAATGATCTCGTATTTCAAAAACAGGGATGTCAATTTATATTTACTTTCAAATTAATTTTCATGTAAATTAAATTGAAGATATATGTTAAATTACACACATCGCCTAGATTAATATTTTTTCTATCAAAAAAAAAATTCAATTTATTTCTTTAGATTTGAAGATTACAGTTCGAATTCCTGTAGAGTATGTTAATTACTTACGTATTCGTTGAATTATATGAAATTACAACTCTTTGTTTTAATAAATCAAATATTTGACAAGCATAATTCATAATTCGACATTATGATATCGATTTCTTGAATGAAAAATCGAACATGAAAATCTCTTGTATAAGGCAAATCAATAATCGACCGATCATTGACAAACATTCCATTGCACTTTTATTTCATATGGGTAAATTAAAATAAAACTATTTTATCAACATATTTACGTAGTTTAATCACACACAAATAAATATAGATAATATAATCTGATTAATATTTATATTTTTGTAAGCGAGTTGTAAATAATGTATGAGTCTGTTCCCGTTCAATATTATTTCTAATTTAGAGTTTTTCAAATTCATCATGATATTCATTATAATAGAGATGTTTTTTTTTTTATTTAATAAATCTAACATTTTTATTGTAAATCGATAACAATAGATAAATATTGTTGTATTAATCCAAAATTTCAGCAAATAATAAACAAATTTGATGATCAGCTTATAAGCATATTATCTCAAGAATAACAAATAGAAAAATTAAGAGTAAGAAAATAAATGAATATATTGAAAAATCACTGATTGTTTTTCACTTAATAAAAACAAAATATGAAACTAAATGAAATAAAAAATCAAACGTTGCGTAGATATTTCACAATATTGCTATACAATGAAAAAAAATCACACTTATATAAAAATACGGAAGAATATGTTTCACATAACGATTCTCCATTTTTGAAATATTTCGTTTTGATTATTGAACTGTAAGAATAGGTATTGAATTCGATTCAAGAATATCTTTAACAATTAAATGACAAGGTAATGTTAAATATGTAAGACATGTTTGTAATGGAAGATTTTTCATAGATTCATTAAGACGTGAATTTGATCCACGCATCCAATTCATTGCATGACTTAATGTACGACCAAGAAAGCCACTTGCATCATCAGATAGTTCTTAAATAAGAAAAAATTGTTTTTTTAAATTTTTTATATAGTTTTCTAAATAACCTTGTCGAATATCTGTTGATTCAACTTCCGGTGTGGGTGAATTAGATGAACTTTGCTGCTGTTGTTGTTGTTTGGATGTTGGTAGAAGAGATTGACTTACTGAACTATTATCAACTGTACGACGTTGATTGTACTGTGAAATAAATAAAAATAAAAATCTATTTGATGCAAAAATTATTTTTCACATACATTTTCTTCATCAAATGTAGTTGTTGTTGGTGTTGTTGGAATAGATTCAGGAGTTGTTATTTCAGATTGCATTGATTGATATCGACTAACAGCCATTTCTGCATGACCTTTGCCCTATAATATCGTTTTCTTCTGAACATTTCCCTATTATGTATTTATTTTCCAATCTTAAACAGTTTAACTCAATTATTAATTAATAACTAATTCAGAAATGCTATAAAAATATATACTAATTGTGTTCAACTATTTTATAATTAATTAATAGTCTGTTCCATATGCTTTGAGAAGATGTAAGACACTTGATTATATTTATTATTTGTAAAAAATTTTGTTTGAAGACAAAACATGTTATGCACCTTTTTATCTTGCAAATCCTTCATATATAACATCTCTCGCTTATCGAATTCAAACTAATATATAATGAAAAAAGTAACTAAACAAACGTCGGCACCTCTAACTCTTTAATAGCAGGGTGCTGGAAGAAAAGTTCTTTTTATTAGAAGATGGCGAACTTTATTTTTCAAATCATATATCATAAATTTTTATAACACACTCATAAACAAAAGAATGCAACAGAAAAGAGAAAGATCCTTGAAAAGAATTGGCACTTCTCTATGAAAAGACTGCACAAAACGTCGATTTTCATATCTCTTCGATAAATGACTTTTGAAAAGGATATTGTTTTTTTTTTTATTAGTTGTTAGGAAATTTTCTTCTCTGTCGAACAGCGTATGATTCATATTTGTCACATATGAGTGAGTTAAATGAGATGAGAAAAAAGAGAAGCATTCGAGCAATAAATTTATAATTTTTATATGAGTTCGTTAAAAATATCTTGTAAATAATAGCCAATCACAACTAACTGTAATTTTACAAGATGTTGTCAATGAGTTCATATAAAAATTATAAATTTATTGTGTAAAATGTTTCTCTTCTTTGTGTTAACAAACTATTCGTTTCAAAACGTGTTTATTAAAGAGTTATGGAAAACAACATTTTTACAGCGATTTTCTAAATCTTACGAAAACTGCGGATACTCTTTAAGGGTGCTTCTCTTTCGAGTTGCATCATTGTGATTATGATAGTGTGACGTAAACAGGTTATATACAAGCCAACAGAGCAAAAGATTCTCTAGCTTCTGGTAAAAAATAAACTTTTCTTCCAGTGCTTTGCTATCGTAGAGAGATAAGTGACGATATTTGAGTCCAATTATTTTTGTATCAAATATTGTTTGAACTTTAATTACATAAAAATGTAAACTAATTCACTAATAAGTGGTTCATAGATAATAGGACAGTTTGATTTTTCACTTTTTGAAGAACATCAACACTGTTCAAAGACATCATTTTAAGCTTACTCGAAAGAAAATCTTTTTGGTCTACAAAAGTGTGAACTTTGTTTTTTTTTTATTTAAGTTTTGCTTTTCAACGCAAAATTGAAATGCTTAACAGCTGCAATCTTCTGCTATTTTCTCTACACATCTAATGATTTGTGCAAGCTTGTGTGCATCAAGTGCGATGCTAAATGTAATATATTTAGCATCAATAGATGAAGAATTTTAATGCTTTATGCTTTCTGGATCTTTACAGCCAGCCTAATGATATCGTTCAGATGCGAAAGACTTGGAATTAACACCTATTATTATTTCGTTTTGAACGTGTTTTCAAAGTTAGTGTCCTTAATGAACAGTTTATCATGATATCATTGGATATAGAATTTAATTCTGAACACAATGATGCAATATTTAAATCGAACAACAAAAATCTTTAGATTGTCTACAAAGTCATAGAACTATGAGAAAGAGTGTTTTGCATTTCTTTTTAATTTTTGCTTAAAAATTTGTTCTTCGAATTGGTTTTTATTATAGAATTGCAAAACATCGTGAGATGCAGCAATTCACAGCGTATCTTGCAGTATATTTTGGCTCACTTGTATGAAAAACAAAGACGAAAGTTTTATAGAGCAAAAACTACTCGATCGAATGAACTTAGAATACTATCTTTAAACCGTGTTGCTGTCTTTATAAAAAAGCAAAAAAACCGAATCATACCATTCTTTATAGACTCTGTGTTAGAAAGATAAAATATAAAGTCAAAAATAGAGGCTTTAAATTGAATTTACAAAATACACCATTTTTACTTATTTCTAATATAGCTGAGCTAAGAAGATTAAGATTCTAGATCTATTAAAATAATGCAATGGATTTAAAACAGAACTATTAAACAGTTATTATTTCTTATAAGTAGAGTAAAAAGTTATGACTTCAAATTGTAAATTTCTGTCAATTCTTCGAATAGTCTAAGCCTGTGTCGTATCTTAAGTTTGATTCAACAATATGAAATTTTAATCTTAAAATTAACTTCAGATTTAATATTTTTATCTGTTATCTAAAAAGTCAATAATGAATTTTTTGTTAATTTATTGTAAAGTTATTCACAACATTTTCTTTTTCAATCTAATTTTCATTTATTTGATCAACTATATTATACCAAAAACTTTGATTAATATTTTTTAATTCATCAATATAAAAAAAAAATTATAAATAATCGTTTTTGATTTGAGAACTTAAAATTTAATTTTCACTCGATTATGATTTGACTTTGTCGAATCTCAATTCTAACGTTTTGTTTTAAACATGTGCATCATCATGTAGGTATTAACTTAACTTTTCGCTTTAAAGCAGAAAAAAAACACACTTACATTCGGTCCACGCATTCGAACAAATTCCATTCGTCGTTTTGTATACATTCCTAATGACATACGTTGAGCAACACGAGTACTTGTTGTAGCCTAGAAAATTCTCTAAATATTAACTTTGTTTGACGTACGTTTTAAATATTTACTCGAAGATCATAAACTTTTTTTAAAGCCTCATATTTAATAGAACCAAGAAACAAAACTTTTAACTCATTTAAAACAGGATTTTTAGCTACTAATTCAACACATACGATTTGACCTTCATTTACAACCATTTCACAAAATGTCTAAAAAAAAAAAACAAAATATTTAAATATAATTTAATAATTTTTCTCAATAATTTTACATCTTCAAAATTATCAACAGTAAAATAAATATTTGGATATGTTATTTTTTCTTCTGTTCCTTTATTTTCCATATCACGACGTGATGGACTTGCATAAACTCTCTAAAAACACAACAACAAAAAAAACTAATGTGTATATTATAATTCTTTTTATAAACTAAATAGATTTATTTACTGTTGATAAACGTTTTATAATTTGTAAATGTCTACTACTTGTTTTAATACAAACAGCTGTTGTTACTATATATTCAAATTGATGAAGAACAAGATTAAGATTTGTTGTTTCTTCCCAATCATAGTCTGGCGCTGCCTAAATCTATTATGTTTATTATAATTGTTATCGATTATTTCTTACTAATTTTGGTTGACGTTTTGTATCATGATGTCGAAAAGCTTCTACCAAATGCTTAATAAATGAAAAAATTTTTTTAAATACTCTAATCGAAATTTATCTTTCAAAACTTACTGATGAATGATGAGAATTATTGACTAATTTACGTGTTACATAAAAAATAAGATCATCATCACTTGTTGTACTAGTTGATGATTGAACAAGACGTGTTGTTGTTGATAAAAAATAAATATCAAATATTTTTGGCCATTGATTATTTATTTGTTGAATGAGTATGAAATCATCATCTAATTAAATTTTAAGATTATCTTAAAATTATTTTATAATAATTTTAAAATTACCTTCATCAACTTTTGTTTTCTTTCGTTCTTCTTTAATATCAACGAGTAAATTTTCAATTGTTAAAGTCATTTTAATTTTTTTTTTTTTGATTTAAAACTCAAATAATATCTTGAAAAAACAAACACTCGAATAACGTAGAATTCTGAATAAACTTTATTGGTTAGCAAAATTAAAGATTAATGATTAGATAAATTTTTCAAAAAATTTTTACCAAATTTCTATTTTTTATTATAAATATTTTTTTGTTTTCTATTTAAAATTTGTCGGTACCGTTTAAGGGATTATAACGAATTAAGGGATAACATGGACACCATTATAGTGGCTTGAGAAACAAGATTTGATTCGTTTATTTATGTT